CAAAAAGGTATTTTGATTTTCATAGGTTGGATTTTTTAAAATACACAGAATATTGTTATACGTAGGATACCAAGTCGAAATTTTAGGTCCTATAAAATAATAATGACTACTAAAAAGTAAGGATAATATCTAAAACTAGTAATCTAAATTTTGATATCACAGAAATTGATAAACGAGCTGATAAGAAGTCGGAAATAAATTCGTGAGCCTATGTGAAATTGTTTTTAGACCATATTAGTATGATTAGTTACTAGGATGATACTTTCGTCATTACAGTTGGTTCCTCAAAAACGGAAATTACTTATGACTCAAACTACGAGTTTACTTTCATTTAATAGTTTTCTTAAGAGATAAACACAAGCTCATCTCAATCTCAAGGAAATGTTAATCCCACAAAAAAGACAAATATCTTTTGTTTTGAGTATTGTGGTAGGTTAGTGTACAACTAATTTATTCTTAACTTCCACACATGATTAGTTGCTAGGATGATATATTTGTTTTACGATTCGATTAGTATTTAGGATGACACATTCATCATTAGTATGATTAATATTTAAGAGGATACAATCGACATTAGTGCGATTAGTAATTAGGAGAATACATATGTTATTAGTAGTTAGGATACATTCGGGATTAGTATAATTAATAGAAGGATACACGTTTAATTAGTATTATTAGTAGTTAAGATGGTGCATTCGTCATTAGTAATATTAGTAGTTAGGGGGATATATTCGACATTAGTAGATTACTAGTTAGGATAATAAATTCGTCATTATATTTGGTTTCCGAATACGGAAATTACTTATGTCTCAAAATACTAGAACATTGGCTCTTCATTGTACCACACACAGCAAAAAGGACTAATCGTAAAGGATTATATCAAACAGTAAATCAGGAAAACTGGGAATAATAATAATGTCATATGAGTAAATAGAGGGATTATGGTGATCGGCTAAATAGAAGTAATCGGCTGAGACAAAATTATATCTGCGTTCAAATGTTCATTATCGTGAATGTTGGGTTGAAATTAGCCTCTGCAGGTGTTAATTTTGCATATAAATCGCAGAGTTATTTTTTAGCAATTTCTTCTGACAAAAAGTACGTCTTATATGCCGTCAAACGCAGCAATTTCTTCCAATTAGAATATTAATTAAAAAATGCATTTTTATAATTTTAGGCTTTCTTTGAACAAAGAAATTCTTAGATTAGGTTAAGTCTTAAGAAATTTCCTTTAAAAAAAAAACATTTGTAAAGATGAATGAATCGTACGAACTAACTGATTCCTACATTGATCATAGCAGGTGATGAGAAGTGGTTGGCATACAACAATGTTCAATGCAATAGTTAATGGATTGATAAGGATAAAACTGAGCTGAAAGAAAGTTAATGTTGTGCATGTGGTGAGATCGTTAGTGTGTTATTCATTTAGGGGTCTCAAATGCAATGGCACTCTAAATGCTCACTTGTATCCCCAGCAGCTTCAACGTGTCCATAAATGTTTGATGAAGGATAGTCCTGTGCTCGTCAACAGGAAAATGTAGTCCTCCATGACAACTTAAAGTCGCAAACAGCAAGAATACCATAAGAAAAGATTTGGAACTCGGTTGGGCTGTTCTACCTGGCCCGCTATATTCACCTGATTTTCCACCAACTGCTTATTGTTTTCGGCTATCTGCCTTATAAGTGGCAATATGCCACGGCAAACAATGGCGAATATATAATTGAATAAAATGCAATTTTGTTTTATTTTTTGAAGAATAAAACTGACGAACAAAAACGGAAAATATTTATGAATCAACCTATTAAATTGGCAACATTTCAATAATCAATAATCGACTGGTTTTCTATCGAAGTGGCACCACATATTTCACAAATCAAGCAAACATTTTTTGACCACACATTTTAAGTATTGCAATTCTATTAAGGAGTCTGCCTTCCTCAAATATTTATGCGTTCATTTGATAGCATGTAAGGTCGGCTCTAGTGCGGCTTTTTGTTCTTCAAGACTCCCTATTTAATTGAATCAACTGAATTACTATTTGACGCCAATGTGTCGAGATTTGATCTTCCGTTTGTGACGTATTATCATTCAATCGATCGTCCAACTATTTTACCAGACGCCGTAAATGGTGGTGTGTTTCAGAATCTATCTTCGACATTTACATATTTGATCTCATTGGGGAGGGGAAGCTGCAGCTTACTTTACACGACATCCTTATTAAATTACGGCATATGATGATAAAAATCTCCATCGTGGTGAACGCCAAGGTCATATTTACTACTTAGACGTTGAGCTGACCGACTACTTCCTGCAAGAGCTTTGGTATAACTCTGAACAATGGCGGGCCTCACTTGTATTTGACTTCCATTTCACACACATGTATACCCGCACACACAAACAGAAATACATATACACAAACGCATATATAAACGAGGATTTATCAATAAGTTTGTAGCCTAATGATGAAAGAAGCACTGACTATTCACAGCAAATCTATATTTTTTCAACATAATCTCATTCATTATTAATAATCTTGCTTTAGTTATCAATATTAATCATACAGCACGGAAAATATACAGTGAAAATTTCAGATCAAATTACGGGTCATAATTACATGATACAGGTATATATATATATATATATATATATATATATATATATATATATTCAAGGATTGAATAAGCAATTCTAAATAGGGGCATAGCCTCGTCCAGGTTCCTCTCTACCTGAAGGTTGGACTCTACTTTTAGAAATAAGAATTTATAATCTCTCTCCAAACCTAATAGAAGAATCGTGAGGAAGTCGATCATAAACAAAAATGACATTTTCATCATTAATTAATCATAGCTAAGGATATATATATTCCAGGACCATTTTCCAACTTATTCAAGATCATCTTAACCCTCTATAATTTTCTAACTTTCTGTGCTGGAGTAACAAGGTGTATCAATCGTTTCACGCAAGATTTCATTTTCAACAATTTTTTCACTGAACTTTGCACTGTCATAGATGAAACCTCTCTCTGACGTGTCTTATAGATTGGATTGGATCTTTTCTTATTGATTCCTTTAGCTCCAAGTTGGACTGATGCCCCCTCTTGCTGTTGTGACGTACACATCTAGTTTTCATCTCTACCATCTCCATTTTTTAAAACTTATTCACCATTCTCTTAATGTTTCTTGAATGGACTTTGAAAATGGAAACCAGAGTATGAATATTGATACTATTACTGAAGGCCTGAATGATCTTTTTCCTCTCACCATTGCTCATTTTTTGAAGACAGTGGTTCTGACACAAAACAATTTTAGTCTGTTTTCATTCTAGCTGAATAACTGAAAGGGTTTTTTCAGTGGTACTTGCGACAAAGGGTGTCATGATGGCGAAGCGTCTTATCTAAAAACCTGGAAAAAAGAAAGTCAGTTAGTTTACTGTTTTTAGATATTAAACATTTTGTGGAATGGACAATTATGATGTTACAGTTGGTATGACGTTTGCCTGATAACTTAACTATCTGGGTTTCAATTCTCGGTAGTAGATACGCACTGCTGATGAGTCCTAAATATAGGACGAAACGGCCGTCCAGTGTTTTCTGCATTCTGCTGAGGCTGTGGTTGTGTAAGATTGTGTATGCCTCCGTCGGACTGTTGGTGACTAAACCGACTACACTACTTCATGTTCTTACGAGTGAGGCAGGTTGTTATCAACCCATTAGAATCACAAATAAGACCTAACATAGGGCAGAAAATCTCTCGATGAGTTAATGCTCAGCTAAACAGAGGCTGTGTCTCATTAAATCACCGTAGAGAAGGCAACATAAACCACTCCACTATTAATCCCAAGAAACATCATGGCAGTTATCAAATGGAATATGAAAGCTAACGGCGTGAAGCGGTTTAAGTCTATAGGAATTAACTCCTTGCCTGCTAAATAACGACGTGTGCAACAGGTATCACCTGACAGTCAATCAGTGACTGTAAGGATAAATGTCATAAAGGGGAGAAAATTCCTCGGAACTGATCCCTCGCCCGGAAAGGAGCGACATGAGCCGCAGGTCTCACTGGACTGTCATCCAGCGACTGTTCACATAGAAAAATAACTGTCGGGACATGGAACGTTAGAACGTTAATAACTGCGCCCAGTTGGAAAATGTAAAACAAGTAGGCTAAATGTGAACATTTTAGGTTTTTGTGAAACTAGGTGACCAAGCAACGGACATTTTATCAGTGACAATCATAGGAGTATGTATGCGGGAGGAGAGAAAAATGAAAAAGGCGTTGGATTGACACTATATCAAAACATCAAGAAATGCGTTCTGGGATACTATTGTAGTCATCTGAAAGAATTATTGTAGTTAAACTGAAAAGAAAGCCTTTCAATATATCTATTATAATAGTGTATGCACCGACAGCACAAAATACGGAAGAAGAAATCAAACCTTTCTACTCCATGCTAGACAACACCAAGGCTGAGTGTAAATGACAAGAAATTACAATTATTATGGGAGATCTGAATGCCAGAGTAGGCAAGGAGAGGGAAGGGGAAATAAATGGCAAATTCATACTAGGAACCTGCAACGAACGCGGAGAAAAATAGGCCTAATGGTGCACGGCGAATGACCAGGTAATAGCCAACACCTGGTTCCATAACATCTAAGACGATTATGGACACGGAGAAGTCCAGGAGGAGAAACTAAAAATCAAATTGACTACATAACAATCAATAAGAGATACAGAAATGTAGCTGTTCATTGCAAAATCTATCCAAGTACCATTTGTGAAAGCAAGCACATCCCTGTTATATATAAACTAAGAGGGAAACTACGGAAACTGAAGAAGTCTAACGCAGCACTCAAATTGGAATACAACAGACTCCTGAACGACCCGAGGTTTTGGAGAGAATGGAAAGAAAGGGGAAACATATTTAACACCAGGAAGAGGCAGCTGAAATGTATGGGATACAGAATGAGGAAAGAGTGCTTGGAAAATATGATACTCACTGTTTACAGCACCTGATATTCCGTAGTGGTCTTCCATCTAGGTACTGATCAGGATCGACTTTGCTTAACTTCAGTGATCGTACGGGAACGGGTGTTTCGATATGATATGGCCGTAAACCTACATAGGAATTGCACAGAAAGTTACGATGAAATGTCACGTTTAAGAACATATTTTTCATAATGTCATGAATTATAGTCACGTGTGAAACGAAATCCCATATTCAAACGCCACTCTCAAGTGAAAAACGCTGCTAACTTTTGTTCCAGCCCAATATTTATATATGTGAGCGAAGGATGATTTATAACTGCTAATAATGATTTAACTTTCATTACTAATCCTTGAATAGACTTTCTTTGGATATCTCCCTAATATGAAATCAGCAAATCATTAATCTTACAAGTGGCGCAATAATCTCGAATCCGATCAGAAGAATTGTTGCTTTCACTCTCGTTGGATTAACGACTTGATTAATTATGTGTAACATAATCCGATTGATTTAAAAAAAAATCTTTTTAATATTTAACCAACTAATGATCAGATAATCGGCTTGTGGAAAACTCTCCAAGCACGAAAGTAATATCCAGAGTTGTCTTTTCTTTTAAGTTTTTTCTTTTATTTTGCCTTTGTATTTATATGTTTTCTAATTGCACAAGAATATAACAAACTATCTTCGATGTGGCCAAATTGTTGATATATACAAAGCTTAGTTTGGTATAAGGTCACCATTGTGAAGCGCTCGATGAGATTGGAACTTGCTCACTATGTAATAATAGTCAAACAAACGAGCTAGCTATTACCCCGGAAAGGATGCCTAGAATACCATAACTGCGTCTCATGCGAAAAGGTAAGACACCCACAAAAAGGGTCCACGTTCTGAATTATAGACTCAAGTATAAACTCGATCAATGTTTTTATACAAGTATAAAACCCAACAAATATTTACCTTACGGGCTCAGACATAAACCGGGCCAATGTTTACGTTTTGGTTCAATTAACAATTAGAAATTAACAAATCAAAACCGTAAATTTTTAGAGCAAGGCACCAAATCTTACATGGGAAATAACATAGAAGGTTAAGTTTAAGAACGTTAAATTAGCTCCTCGGTTATCCACTGAAGCTGCTATCCACCGAAAAAAAAAGATGCCAGTCCACCTGTAGACCATTTTAAAGTCAGTTCGCAAAGGGGATTGGTTGTTACAAACATCCAATCAGGTGCGCGGAAAATGTGGTCCATTTTCGTCCAATTTAATAAAAAGGCCAGAATCTCTGCTAGCGTTTGATTGCAGGGGTGGGGATCAGGGATTGATCACCACTGATTGGGTCGGCTTGGTGATGGGGGTGTATGATGCCGAAAAACCTGACACTCCCTGATGAACCAAGTCAATTTACACCACTGACGACTCCCTCCGGCGTCTATTTAAGAGTGTATATTAAATTAATTACTCAACTATAAACCAGAACAAATTTTAATTTTTGATTAAAATATAAACCCAATCAATATTTACGTATTTGATTCAAATATAAGCCGGACCAAAATTTAATATCTGATTCAAACATAAACCCAGTCAATATTCACCTTTTTTACTAAAGTATAAACCGGACCAAAATTCACTATCTGATTCACGTATAAATCCAGTCAATGTTCACCTTCTTGATTCACGTATAAATCCAGTCAATGTTCACCTTTTTGATTCACGTATAAATCCAGTCAATGTTCACTTTTTCGATTCAAGTATAAATCTAGTCAATGTTCACCTTTTTGATTCACGTATAAATCGCGTCAATGTTCACTTTTTCGATTCAAGTATAAATCTAGTCAATGTTCACTTTTTTGATTCACTTATAAATCGAGTCAATGTTCACTTTTTCGATTCAAGTATAAATCTAGTCAATGTTCACCTTTTTGATTCACGTATAAATCGCGTCAATGTTCACTTTTTCAATTCAAGTATAAATCTAGTCAATGTTCACCTTTTTGATTCACTTATAAATCTAGTCAATGTTCACTTTTTCGATTCAAGTATAAATCTAGTCAATGTTCAGTTTTTGATTCACGTATAAATCGCGTCAATGTTCACCTTTTTGATTCACTTATAAATCGAGTCAATGTTCACTTTTTCGATTCAAGTATAAATCGAGTCAATGTTCACCATTTTGATTCACGTATAAACTCAAACGATGTTCACCTTTTTGATTCAAGTATAAACCGGGCCGAAATTTACTATCTGATTCACGTGTAAACCCAATTAATATTTGCCTTTTTCATTCATATATAAACTATGCAAATGTTTACATTTTGATTCAAGTATATACCCGTTTAATATTTACCTTTTTAGCAAAAATCTGATTTTGAAGTTGGTTATATCGTAATTTTGAGTTCAATTCCTGTGCCGGGTAGTATAGACTCAGAATCACTGGAGAGAGATTGAACACTAACTGAACAGAGCTAAATACAAAACGAGATATCCCGAGACATGGACAGCGGATCACGAACAATCTTCCCCCGTACATTAAATAAAGGGTTCAGTTCGAAATTCCTTGAAGGTGACCTGAATGGATAGATACCTGAGAAAGGTCGGAACGTAAAACCTGCAGAAATATTAGGATGATAACAAAAAAGATGTTGGTATTAATTCGACTGTAAATAATATAAAAAGAAAAGAACGGCCTTATATAATAGAAGATACAATAGGATTTTCTCATCAGTAGCACCTATTGGTTCCAATCTAGTAGTAGAATACAGCTTCAATAAAAGATTTCATTACAGGTATTTGCTAAACTTTGTTTACTCCGGAATATGGTCAAACAGAAACCAGAAGGAATATGTTGTGTCTATTTCTTAAATTTAATTTTCTGCAATCGTACATACGGTATAAAAAATCCAAATATCGAGGTAGCCAAACCGATTACTGAAATATCGAGATAGCCAAACAAAACAATTATTCAAATATTGAAGTAATCAAAACGATTACCTCATACGAATGAAGCCAAAACGTATATCCAAATATTGAGGTAGCGAAAACGATTACCCTATAGCAAGGTAGTAATACAATTACCCATTAACGAGGTATCTAAAGCGATTGTCCAAATATCGAGGTAGCCAAACCTATTACTCAAATATCGAGGTAGCCAAACCGATTACTCATTAATGAGGTAGCTAAAGCGATTACCCAAATATTGAGGTAGTCAAACCGATTACTCAAATATCAAGGTAACCAAACCGATTACTCATTAATGAGGTAGCTAAAGCGATTACCCAAATATCGAGGTAGCCAAACTAGTTGAAATCAATCCTCGAAATCCTAGACTTTTGATGGATTTGAACATCGATTTGCTTAGAGAGAAAATACATAGCTACTTCCACTACCGATCTTTAGTAAGTTTAACTGAGAATAAAACCAAATGCAGAATAGAAAGACTGTGTTCCGATAATCATCTAAAGTTATAGCAACTGCCTCCGTTGAAAAACCTATTTTGTGCGTAGCTTCGATTTTTAGCTATTTGATAATCGTTTTGGTCATCCCGCTATTAGGTATTCGTTTTGGCTACCACACAGTAGGGTTATCAGTAGAGATCTCTCACTATAGAGTTATGGCAAACAAACTAATTGAGAAAACCATTACTACGGTGTAATTGGCTCGGCTCAATACTAGGGTATTTTAAGCTTGATTAAACCAAGCTTCACTTTGCCTCGCTGTTCGGAAAGGGATAGCCTGTTGAACTAACAAATCATTACTACTGGACACCGAATTCTATCGTCATAGGGAGCTCAGCACGTGTGGGCTTGTTTTTAAACAAAGCTTACAGCTCAGTAAATAACGAGAACTTTGTTTATTTTATTTATTTCGCAAACTATTTCATCTGAATTTGCTCGTAAAAACTGATTCTTCTTGGGTTCTTCCTCCGATTTGATAAATAGCAAGAAAATTGGCTTACAGACAAATAAGTTTCATTTCCTTGGTACTTTGATGAATTTCCGATCGAAAGAGTCATATTTCATAAAAGCAACCTTTTATATTCAAAGTTAATTTTGTTGATGTTCTTATGGCATTTTCGGGAATTTGGCCAGCATTTAGTAATTGTTCGTATATCAAATGTGAATAATGTCTTAAGCACACAATGACAAGAGATATTATTGTTTATTACATATTTATTTTCATTGTTTTTATTAATATATATATATATATATATATATATATATATATATATATATATATATATATATATATATATATATATATTGTGTATTTAGGCAGCAACCTCTCTTTTATACAAGTTTAATTAAAAACGATTGACAAGCTACAGCGGTTAAGATTTTATTTAATTTTTCTTGTGTTCTCATAATTTTCTAGACGTAAATTATGTAGAATTTGTCCAAATGCTTTGTATGTCCGAGCGGTTTCGGCTATATTTTTAGCCGTTATCAAGGATGGTTTTATATTTACATTTAACTGAATATATGGATTGTTTTATGTATGTATCTAGAGTTGTAGGAATGATTTAATTTAAAAATTGTGGCCGTATTCATAACTGATGTTATTGAGCGTTAGTTCTTTTTTTTATTAATATTGCTTCCATTACTTTTAGCTTTTTTTTTACATGTGGATGAGGCTATTATATTTGTATTATCAATGAGTTTGTTGCAGATAGAGTTTGGCAGGTCTCTATGTGTATAAATAAAATAAATATTTAAAAAATTTTTATATATATATATATATATATATATATATATATATATATATATATCTTCAAGCAGGTTCGGTTAAATAATTTAGATGTTATGCCTATTTATTTTAGTTTTAGTCCTTTCAAGTCCACGAATTATTTTCTTGGTGGCTGTAGAAAATTGAGCAAGAAAAATACAAAGAAATTCGTGGAATTGAAAAACTAAAATAAATAGACATTTGAATTATTTAACCAAACTTATTTGAATGAAAATATGCTGCTTATATATATATATATATATATATATATATATATATATATATATATATATATGCACACACACGAGATGCCCTTTCAAAATGCTCTGGCTGCGGTGCGCTAGTTATCGAGCGTGTTTCACTTAGGTGTCTTGTGTGATGGATGCTTGGGCGTTCAAGTCTCTTTTCAAT